TGTCATCGAAGTGACAAATGAAAGTTTACCGGTGAAACAAAGATTTTACCCCATATCTCCAGCGATTCAAAAACTGATCTACGGTGAGCTCGACCGAATGTTGGAGATGGGGGTAATTGAAGAGAGTAATAGTAGTTGGAGCTCGCCTGTATCGCTGGTTGTAAAGGGCACGAAAAATCGCTTGTGTCTTGATGCGAGAAAAGTAAATGAGCGCACGGTGAAAGACGCGTACCCTTTGCCCCATATTGATGGCATCATAAGTAGATTACAAAATACTCGTTACATTTCCGCTATAGATCTAAAAGACGCGTTCTGGCAAATTCCCCTTGAGAGAAAGTCCAGAGAAAAGACTGCATTCACTGTGCCCGGTAGGCCTTTGTATCACTTTACAGTAATGCCATTCGGCTTGTGCAACGCGGCACAGCGAATGTGCAGGCTCATGGACAAGGTCATCCCCGCTTCCCTTCGTGAATCTGTGTTTGTGTATTTAGACGACTTACTTGTTTGTTCAGTTGATTTTTCGTCTCATTTGTGTTTGTTAGAAAAGGTCGCTAGATGTCTGCGTGAGGCGAAGTTGACTATAAATGTCGAAAAAAGTAAATTTTGTTTCAAAGAAGTCAGGTATTTGGGCTACGTTGTGGGCAACGGATGCATCCGTACAGATGCTAGCAAGATCGCCGCTGTGAGGGATTTCCCAGAACCAAGGACCCCTAAGCAGCTCAGGAGGTTCTTGGGGATGTCCGGCTGGTACCGCAGGTTCATACGGGACTACGCGACCATTGCAGCGCCGCTGCACGACACCCTCACAAAGGAAAAGATTAAAAAGTTCACTATGACAGATGACGCGAAGACAGCTTTTGAGCGTTTGAAGCAAAGCCTCATATCCGCCCCAGTGTTGACCCACCCGGACTTTAACAAACGTTTTTATATACAGTGTGACGCATCGACTGACGGAGTGGGGGGAGTTCTTTTCCAACTAGACGAGGACGGTAATGAAAGACCAATCGCATATATATCAGCAAAACTAAATAAAGCTCAACGGAATTATAGCATAACCGAGTTGGAATGCTACGCAGCGGTTATCAGTATTAAAAGATTTAGGCCTTACGTAGAGGGGTTACCTTTCACTGTAATTACAGACCACGCGAGCTTAAAATGGCTAATGAGCCAAAAGGACCTCTCAGGCCGACTGGCAAGGTGGAGCCTGAAGCTTAAGGGCTATGATTTTGACATTCAGCATCGCAAGGGAACACAAAATATAGCACCGGATGCGCTTTCTCGAGTGGACATGGACGAAATTAAAATAACTGACCGAATACTAGACGTATGTTTAAACTCACCGTTTTTTAGGACAGAAGAATATGAAGAGCTGAAGAAGACAGTCGCTAATAACCAAGACAAATTGCCTGAACTATGTACATCGGACGGATACGTTTATAAAAGGACACAGTTTAATAGGGGGGACAGGCTTCAAGAGGACCATGCCTGGAAACTCTGGGTGCCAACTGAGCTGCGACAGGGTCTAGTTGAGTCCTCACACGACTCGCCTTCCGCAGGACATGGTGGAATACATAAAACTTTAGCAAGAATTAGGGAAAAATATTATTGGCCAGGTATGGTGTCTGACGTTCAAAAGTATGTGAACAACTGTGATATTTGCAAGGGTAATAAAACGCATAATGCCTTTCACAAACCACTGATGGGGAAACAACACGTGACAGAGCGGCCTTTTCAGCGTTTGTATATAGATTTTATGGGTCCGTATCCTCGTACGTGTGATGGTAATGTGTATGTCTTTGTGTGTCTTGATCATTTGTCAAAATTCGTGTTTTTAAAACCGATGCGCAAGGCAACTTCAGCTGAAGTCGTAAAGTATTTAGAGAAAGATGTTTTCCACATATTCGGCGTTCCTGAATTTGTCCATTCGGACAACGGAAAACAGTTTACGTCTGACATGTTTAACAGCTTTTTGGAAAAATACGGAACCACACATGTAAAAACCGCGTTCTACTCACCCCAAGGTAATGCCGCCGAGAGGGTGAACCGATCGGTGTTACAAATTATCAGGTCCTTCATAAAGGAAAACCAAAGAAACTGGGATAGACATGTCAGCGATGCTGCCTTCGCACTCCGCAGCGTGGTACACTCGTCAATCAATACCTCGCCGTATTATGCCACTTTCGGTATGCCTATGATACAGCATGCTGCATCATACGAGCTATACCGAAAGCTGAGCGCATTGAGAGACGGGGATTGCGAGGTGGAGGCAGCAAGCGATCGATTGCAAGTTCTACGAAATAAGATCTTGAAAGAGCTGAAGTTAGCCCATGAGAGAAGCGAGAAGGTTTATAATACGAGGAGTAGGGATGTTAAGTTTCAAATTGGAGAAGTGGTATATCGCCGAAACTTTAAACAAAGCTCACAAGTAGAAAATTACAACGCCAAGTTAGCGCCAAAGCAGGTTAAATGTATAGTATTAAAGGCTATAGGCAATTCCATGTATGAGCTTGGCGATAGTAGTGGGAAAAAGATCGGCATATACCACGCTAAAGATATTTTTGCTAGGTAAATTTTTGTTTCATGTAGTTCTGCGTCAAGTGTTGAGTGTTTATCGTGCGGCTAGATGTTTTATGTTTCTATGTTATTTAATTATTTATTTTTTATATTTTTATTTATTTTTATACTTGACTATATTTGTGTGATTATTTATTTATTTATTTATTTATTTACCTACTACTTGACTACGAATCTATAATCTCTGTGATATTTTAATTATTTATGTATTTATTTATTTATTTGATTATTTATTAATGGTATTATTTTTAAATTTATACAGTTTCTTATCTTGACCATACGTTGTAATTATTTATATATTCATTTATTCGATTTACTGTGATATTTTTTTTATTCCTATAGATATACATATTTCCATCTGTGATATTTTGGATAAATTTATTGACCTAGACCGCTCTGTGATATAGAATTAAGAATTACGTATGCATGTAGATTTACAGTAGCCCAGTCATACTGTCTTTAGTTATAGATATATGTGTGTGCTCACCCAAAGCCCAACATGAACGAACCAGATTGATAAGAAACGCGATAGAAGCCCGGCTGTGAGTCGTGGGTCGAGGCCACACGTTAGGCGGAAATAAAACCTTGCAACCAGCCGCGTTAGAAATCTTCTTACGGATACGCTCCACGATGCAGGCACCATCGGCGGGTCCGAGCCTGTAGCGCCAGCTGTTTGCCAGATACTTCTGTATGTGCATGTATGT